CCCCAGCTGCTCTGCCTCCCCCTGACAGGTGCCAGGGGCCTTTCTGCCTCCTCTGCCCTCCCCAGTGGTGGCGTGTGGTGCTCTGCTGGGACAAGCACCCCCCACACACACACACACTGAGGGGGCTTTGCTCCGGCAGGCAGAGAATTTCACCAGTGGCCCCAGCTCCAGCTCGCACCGGCCGCAGCAGCAGGATACCCGGCCAGCTGCTCTGCCTCCCCCTGACAGGTGCCAGGGGCCTTTCTGCCTCCTCTGCCCTCCCCAGTGGTGGCGTGTGGTGCTCTGCTGGGACAAGCACCCCCCACACACACACACACTGAGGGGGCTTTGCTCCGGCAGGCAGAGAATTTCACCAGTGGCCCCAGCTCCAGCTCGCACCGGCCGCAGCAGCAGGATACCCGGCTCTGCTGCCTGGCAGGGGTCTGGGCGTGGGCAGAGTTAAGGCTGTTCTAGAAGGGCAGGGGCTTGGTCACATGACGGGTGACAGTGCGGCCCCTCCCCTGAGCCCTGTGCCCCGCTACGTTGCTCCATGTGGGACCCAGCCATGGCCCCAGGATGAGGGGTCCTGGCTGAGCTGGGTTTGCAGGTGGAGTCCCCCTCTGGGGGGGTGCAGAGCACGGGCCGTGTTTGCTCCTCCTCAGTGAGTCCCAGGAGAGTTGGGCACCTCAGAGCCTCTGTGAATCCAGGTCCCAGCGTTCCCTCCCCAGGGATGTCCTGCCCGCATGCCCTCCCTGGCAGGGCAGCCAAGGGCCTGGTGAGCCGTGCCCCATAGCAGGGGGCTGTGCTGCCCCCCAGCCCCGTCCTCACCCCTCCACCTAGCATGGGCTGGCAGGGCCCAGGGGCCAGATGGGACCCAGCATGTGGGGCAGGGCTGGCGACCAGGACCCAGCGTGTGGGGCAGGGCTGGTGACCAGACCCAGGGTGTGGGGCAGGGCTGGTGGCCGGGCAGGGCAGAGCGAGGGTGCGGCGAGCAAGCTGGGCGCCGGGTTGATCCGGGGGTAGGCGCTGTCGCTGGGCGGAGGCTGTGGATGAGACCTGCGCACCCTGGGGCACCGCGGTGAGGAGTTCCCTGTAGCACAGGGCAGGGGCAGCCCCCTGGAGCCAGGTGAAGACAAGCAGGGCCAGGGGGAGAGATGGGCAGCCCAGGGGAGTGAGACCCGCCAGGCTGGGGGGCGCAGCCCAGCACGGAGCAGCGGTGCCCCCGGTCGCTCTGAGCGGCCCCCGCCCCCCGGCCGGTCTCACCGTCGTAGTCGGGAAAGCACATGCTGAGGTGGGCTTTCCGGATCTTCTCCAGGAACACGTCCTTCTTGTTGAGGAAGAGGACGATGGAGGTGATGGCGAAGTAGCGGTGGTTGCAGATGCTGTTGAAGAGATGCAGGCTCTCGTGCATCCGGTTCTGGGGAGGAGCAAGGGGCCACATGAGGCTAGAAATGGGGTCTCCCTCTGCCTCCTGCAGGGGCTGGCGTGGGAGGGTGGGGCTTGGCTGGTGGGGTGCAGGTTCCTGGGACTGCGACCCTGCCTAGCTCAGTAACCCCTCTAGACATGGGGCATGTGCCTTGCTCCCCCCCTGTGAACCCTGCTGCCGGCGGGGCCTGAGTCCCCCTAGCACCTGTGACTAGCACAGAGATTCCTAACCAGAGATCTCAGCTCGCTTTACACCGGTCAGGAGCACTGCCCCCATTTTACAGCTGGGGAAACTGAGGCACGCTTTACACCGGTCAGGAGCACTGCCCCCATTTTACAGCTGGGGAAACTGAGGCACGCTTTACACCGGTCAGGAGCACTGCCCCCATTTTACAGCTGGGGAAACTGAGGCACGCTTTACACCGGTCAGGAGCACTGCCCCCATTTTACAGCTGGGGAAACTGAGGCACGCTTTACACCGGTCAGGAGCACTGCCCCCATTTTACAGCTGGGGAAACTGAGGCACGCTTTACACCGGTCAGGAGCACTGCCCCCATTTTACAGCTGGGGAAACTGAGGCACGCTTTACACCGGTCAGGAGCACTGCCCCCATTTTACAGCTGGGGAAACTGAGGCACGCTTTACACCGGTCAGGAGCACTGCCCCCATTTTACAGCTGGGGAAACTGAGGCACGCTTTACACCGGTCAGGAGCACTGCCCCCATTTTACAGCTGGGGAAACTGAGGCACACACCAGTGCAGTGAGGCGGCCAGTGGCAGAGCTTCCCCCGAGTCGTGCTCCCCACACCAGGCCACGCTGCCGCCTGACAAGCTGCTTACTCCTGTTAGGGTCGGAGCCAGGCCGAGACGTGTAAAGTGTGCCTCAGTTTCCCCAGCTGCTGGCTCTCCTTTGTTAGCAGTGTGCACACCCATGTGTGATGCAGTGTCAGGACCTTGCTGGTCCCTTTGCTTGGGCTGTGGGTGACCCCTGCTGGCCGGCCGGAGCACTGCCCAGCAGGTGGGCTGCCTAAGACCTGACCGGTTACGGGCAGTGAGGGACCTAGGAAGTGGGTGGTGGGGGAAGGAGCAGTCTGGGGCTGGCCCCATGAAGAAAACAGACTAAGGAGGGGCTGGAATCGAGGGGCCCAGGGACCCATCTCAAGGGGGGGAGGCTGCCTGGCCCTGACTCCTGTAGC